CTGCTGAGAAATTTTACGATTATATCTCTCTAGAACATACAAAGGATAATATTTATGAGTACCTTAAATTAGAATCCCAAACTTATATACATTCAATTTTATTAAAGATACATATCAACATTAGTAATATATATTAATACCAAAATACTTTTTTCAAAATTCTAGCATGAATATGATATAGATATTGATTTTAAATATACAAATGCCAGTTTATATGAAGGTGAAATTTATTATATATATATATATATATGCCATACAGTAATTTTTATTAGTTCACGAGAGTTTGATACTGAGACACATTAACCATACATCGTATGTATTTTTCATCAACAACGATGGAATCACACCGGTTTAAAATATCATATTAATAAAAACTAGATTCAAAGATTATAAACCGAACAAGCGTCCCTGTCGAAAGAATCAAATAAACGAGAAAGTTTTCATTTTCGTTGAATCAAGCAAGATGGAAAGAATCATTTCATCACATCGACGACAGCTGGTACGAAATATTTATAAATTCTACATTAAAGCACAGTTGATTTTGGCTCAATTTCATCATTGTTTGCTTTTTGCATGACTCGGTGTTCCCAATTATATTGCATAAATTTTTTACACGTTGCACTCAAATTTCCAACACTATGGAATAGAAACTCACCTTCTTCTTTATTAACCGAGAACAATTAATTCTTGTAATTTACCATCCATGTATGGTGTGGTTGCATATTATTAATATTATAAATTCAACTACATGTATATTAATATGGGGCGTGGTATGGTAAAAATTATGTAATACATGTAAATGGCACGCCCCTTATCAGAGAATTACAGAAATTATGTACTGTAATCTTTTTAAATTTTTAGAATGATAATAAATAATTTACTTTCCAATACATGTAACTGTAAAAGATGCATATGTACAGATTTAGAGAGATGGTATCACATCACATCAGACCCCCAAATTGAGAAGCATACGCCATTGGTCGTATATTAGGATGTGACTATCGGAAAATAGAGATGAATCTTGCGTTACTTTACATAAAATTAGAATTACAAATACATGTACGTCTACATACCACGGCTTCGAAAGTTTTATAGGTCATTTGGAGATCCGAACTGATTCTTATTAGGGCTCCCTTATTTCCAAGCGTATCGCTAATTGTATATAATAATAATAATAGCGTTAATAATATAAAAAGATATGAGCCAGTTTACTATACACATGTACCAGTAATTCGGCGCAGAAAACACTGTGATACATTTCCCATTATGTTCTATTACGTATCCATTTTCTTTCACCTCGTGACTCCGTATCAGTAAATCTAATAATCAAAGATCAATAGATAATGTTGGACGATGCATATACATCTATTGGGAACAGACGGATTACCTAAATTATTCAGTTTCAAGAATTTTTCTGTTACATCAGGACCAAATTGTATCCCTACTCCACGTTTACTTAGACCACGACCAGGATTCTTTTGTGGATCTAAACAAGAAACAGGATATTGAGAAGCAATTGAATCAAGAAGAAAGAATATGAATAAAAGGAGAAAAAATATCACATACCAGACCAAAGTAGTTCACACATCAGTCCCGTGGACTCTGGCTTTCTCTTAAACCGATTTATTTGTCTTATTTCATCAAGTGTCACATCATCTCGGCTGAACAGTCCACCATGTGTGACAAAAATCTTTCCATTAATCAAATGAGCAAGCGGTAATGTTGCAAAAGTCTCGGCGAATAAATCGAACATAGTATCCGAATATTTTGCTTTGACTTCCCCTTCGAATCCGTACACTTTATTCATGTCATCTGTCTCGTGATTTCCACGTGTCAAATAAAGTCCTTTTGGGTAAAGCCATTGATATACAAATAATGTCAGTATTATTTCGACGCTAAACGATCCTCGATCTACGAAATCTCCATTGAATAAGTAAATGTTCTTTTCAGATGGTAGGCCATTGATTTCAAAGATGTTCAATAAGTCGTAGTATTGACCTTAACGAGAAACAAATTAGAATCAATTTTTAGAAAACCTCATTCTAAACAAGGGGGATGCAATTTTTACCATGAACATCGCCACATACTGTCAGTGTTGCGTCTTTAGGTATTGTTATATCTACTAATGAAGGTAACGCCAACATATGCTTTCGTACGGCCAGAATAATCTAACAAGAATTCGAATATTATTCGCCTATTCGAAAAGTAAATATAAAAAATACACAATTTTTAAACTTTACTTTATAGGCATATAATCTATGAATTAATTTCTGATTTTTGAAATACTCCATCGTCTCCTTGATGAAACCTTCTGTAACACCCTTATCTGGCATTCTAGGTCCCTCATATGATGATTCGACCGCTAACCAAGAAAAAATTAAAATCAAATAGAAAAAAAAGAACGCGGAAACGAGTTTAAAATTTTGTTATGCTTACTCATAGAACTTATATCGATAGTATCGGCTAAACTTTTTTTTGAAGAATCTATCTGATAATGATGAACAATTTTTCTTTCATCAGCATCTCTTTGTCTTTTTGATGAAAAAGTAAATCCACAAATCAACAT